TGACCAACACTCAAACTGAAGACCTTTCACTTTGTGGGATGATGCCCAATCAAGTGAGCTACACCAGTCAGGGCTCACTTAACAATCTTGAAGATTATTCCGCACTCATACAGGGACAGCTCCCTTGTTTCCTTAATTTATTTTTAATTGTATTATATTTTATTTATGTACCATTACTTATTTAACCAATACCCTATTGAAGAACATTCAGGCTAGTTTTTTCTGTTTGTTTATTTTTTGGTTTTGGGTTTGTTTTGTTTTGTTTTGGGGATTTGTTTTGAGGTATTTTTTGGGTTTTTTGTGTGTGGGGTTTTTTTTGCTATTGCAAGTAATGCTATAACGAATAATCTTGTGCATATCATTCCTCAATAAGCAAACATAAAATAAATTCCTAAAAGAGATTTTCTGGATGGAAAGCTATGTGCATTTGTAAATTGAGAGATGCTGCCAAATTGCCCTTGATGGGAGTTGTACAAAAGCACATACTCATCTACAGAGCATCAAAAACTTCTGACTTTTATAAAATCCTATACAAAGGAACCAAAACACTTATAAAGGAAGTAATAGAGACAATTTTTAAGTATATTTTATTGATTATCTTATTACAGTTGTCCCAATTTTTCCTCCTTTGCCCACCTCTGCCCAGTAACCCCCTTCCCTCCTGTAATCCCTGCCCCTGCACCTTAGTTCATGCCCATGGGTCATACATATAAGTTCTGTGGCTTCTTCATTTCCTATACTATTCTTAACACCCTCCTGTCTATTTTATACCTACCACTTATTCTTTTTAATCCCTGTACCTCTTTGTGCAGGGAAAAGGGGTGTTTGTCCCATTCTCCTCCTTCTCTCTCCCAGCTGATAACCCTCGAAATGATCTTCATACCTATGATTCTGTTCCTCGTTGTTTGCTTAGGTTTTTATTGTTGTGTTGTTGTTGTTGTTGTTGTTTTGGGTTTTTTAGATTCAGCTGTTGTTGGGAATTTGTTACCTTTTTAATGCTCATAGTTTTGATCTCCTTTTTCTTATAAGTTCCTTTAACATTTCATGTAATACTGGCTTGGTGAAGATGAATTCCTTTAGCTTTCCCTTGTTTGGGAAGCACTTTATCTGTCCTTCCTTTCTAAATGATAGCTTTCCTGGATAGGGTAACTTAAGTTGTAGGTCCTTGATTTTTATCACTTTGAATACTTTTTGCCAGTCCCTTCTTGCCTGCAAAGTTTCTTTTGAGAAATCAGCTGACAGTCTTATGGGTACTTCTTTGAAGGTAACTCTCTTCTTTTCCCTTGCTGCTTTTAAGACTCTATCTTTAACCTTTGGCATTTTAATTATGATGTGTTTTGGTGTGGCCCTCTTTGGGTCCAACTTGTTTGGAACTCTCTGTGGTTCCTGGGCTTGTATGTTTATTTTCTTCTCCAAATTAGGGAAGCTTTCTTTTAGTCTTTTTTCAAATAAGTTTTCAATTTCTTGCTTTTCCTCTTCTCCTTCTGGCATTCCTATGGTTCAGATGTTGGCATGTTTGGAGATGTCCCAGAGTCTTCTTATATTATCCTTGTGTTTTTGAATTCTTGTTTATCTGTTCTGTTCTGATTGAATGTTTATCTCTTCCTTGTGTTACAAAGTGTTGGTTTGAATCCTGTCTGCCTTCCCTTCACTGTTGGTTTCCTGTAGATTTTTCTTTATTTCACTTAGTGTAACCTTCATTTCTTCCTTTACGTTGTTGCCATACTTAGTGATTTCCTGATAGCCAGTGTTTTGAACTCTGCATCTGATAGGTTGGTTACCTCCATTTCATTTAGTTCTTTTCCTGGGGTTTTGTTCTATTCTTTCATTTGGGCCATATTTCTTTGCCTCCTCAATTTGGCAGCCTCCCTATGTTTGTTTTGAGGTATTAGATAGAGCTGCTTTGCCTTCCTGAAAAAGGCATCTGTAAATTGTGTGAGGCAGAGCCTTAGGCAATTGCCAGGATGGGGCAACCCACTTCACCTCTTTGTGGCTCTGTATGGAGGGAAGGCTTGAAGAGGGAACTGTGCCACAGCCTGGCTTCTGGGGATTTGCTGTTTCCCATCACTTCACTCACTCCCCTTTTGTGACTGGCACCCTTCCAACTGTTGCTCTGATGTTGGATCCCAGAGTGGGTGAATTTGCATACATTTTAAGACCATGGAGGCCCTTTAAGTGGAGTTTCCTGAAAATCCAGCAGTTTCTTCCACTGCTTCAACCCCCACTGATTTTTATAGCCAGAAGTTATGGGGATTTATTTCCTGGTGCTGAAACCCTGGGCTGTGTGGTCTGGCCTGGGACTGGGATTGCTCACTTCCAAGGTATCCCTCTTGATTTTTATCCACTACATGTGAATGTGGGACCACCTGTGCCCATTTTGCTGCAGCCATGGCCTCTCTGCACCACACCTTGTCTGTGGCCTCTCCTCCCCATCTCTTCATTTCTGTCTCTCCTACCCATCGGGATGAATGTGGCTTCTTTAAATCCTTGGTTGTTGGATTTCCATACAATTAGATTTTCAGACGGTTCTGGGTGTTATTTGTTTTGACTTTTAGTTGTAATTCTTTTTGTGATTGCATAAGGGGGCAAAGTGTGTCTGCCTAAGCCCCCATCTTGACCAGAAATCCTCCAGAGACAGTTTGATCTGACCCTATGACCATGGGCCAGTTGGATTGCTTTTTATTCCTTTTCTCTCTCACAGGTTGACAATTTGGATATCTCATATAGGTTTAGAGTTGTTTAACTTTACAATTCTAAAATGGGATGCCACATTAAAAATGTTTCCAATTCACAGTTATTTAGTTGCATTTCAGACTGTCAGAACCTCACAAAGTTAGTAGATTTGATGATGGGTTTAATCTTTGCTTTTTATGATTTCAGTTTGTAACTCTCTTTTACCCCTTTACTCTCTTAAGTATCACTAAGGACTCCAAAGAGCTTTTGTTTATATGGGTTTTATATATATATTTATCATATATGAAAGCAAACTGAAAAATTAAAATATATATTAAAATTATTCCATTTTATAGCAACATAAATAACATTCTTGTGAAAAAAAACTGTAAAAATTAGTGAGAATATTGTTTTATATTGTTGCAAATCTCACTTAATAGATGATAACTGGCTTGGTACCTTGGGGAATCCAGCAGAACATTTTCTTGTGGACTGAACTCTGCTAAACACTTCCTGCCCTGTCTTGACACCGCATATGGCTGTTCCTTACCCTTCTGTTGAAAGGCCCCATCCGCAATTTCCAGGAGATGATGGGCAGTGCCAAGGTTCATGAGTTTTTATGTGAATTGGTTTTTGAAGTCCAACTCCAAACGCAGTGTTCAAAGTGAGGCTAAAATTTGGATCTTTCTTTGTGAATCACAGATACACTCTGATAGGTATCTTGCAGAATTCTAAGTGAATATGGTAGCTGTATTAGATTTAATGTAATTACCAAAGGGGTCTTACAGTGTGCTGGGATAGTGCCCAGGTTTCATGTGCCCAGCTTAGAATAACAAAATTCTAATGCCCAGTACTGACCATGACACCATACACCTAGATCAGAGGCCAACATGTTATCCAGGACATCTGATTCATCCCATAGATTACCTTCAAGACTAATTATGTTTATTGAGTTAACAGAGTCTAAAAGACCTATGCTGAGTACTGAGAATAGTGCATGAGAAATAGAGAGTCGGGCTTATGCCCCTAGCCAGAGCTAAATGTAATACAAAGGACCACAGCTAAAGCCAGAATGGGAAGAGTGGCAACACCTATGCATAAGATAAAAAGGCTGGTGACCCTTGGTAGCCCTACATGGGCATATCAGCCAGGAAATGAGAGCTGCCTAGCAGGGAAATTCTCTGGCTGGTGGGAAAGCCAAATGAGGTTTTCAATCTAGAAGACCATTCCTACAGTTCCTGGTGAGACTACTTAGGAGTAAGGACCCTGCCATAGGCATGATGTTGAAGGAAAGGAGAGTGAATGTTCAACTCTACTAACCACAGTTCAATAGTGTTTCTGCCCTCCTTTATGGTCTACAAGTCTTTTCAATGGCACTTACCTGAAACGTGGGCTAGGCAAGTAATATTACTCTATTTAACAAATGAAGCAAACAGAAAAACAGGCTCAGAAAGACTAAGTGACTTGCTCAGCTGGGCAGTAATAAAACCACACTCAGATCATCAGACTCCTAATCCGGCGTTTTATCCACTCTTCCAAGGTACACTAGTGTGGGTGGAAGAAGCTGAAGACAGTGGAAGAAAGAAAAGCTCAAGGTGAGCTATTGGAGGCTAAAAGGCTTTAGAGAGCAAAGAAAGCAGGAGAACACAGAGGAAGGAATCCCTTGGCAAATATGGAAGTTGGTGGGAAGATTCATCGAAGTATCAAATAGGTATGGACATGGGAAATAAAGTTGGAAAAGTGGAAATAGGACCAGATTAATAATTAGGATGTGATGTGATGTGTAATAAGGCATGATTGTGGTTTCATGAAAACCAGAGTAACAATGAAAGCAGGACTTTAGGAAGATTAGTATGGCAGTGTGACAAAGATCTGAATGGAAGAGTCTAGAAATGGACAGCTCAATTAGATATGGTTGTGGTAATTCAGCTGTGAAGTAACAAATCTTGGACTAAAATAGTACCAGTGGAAATGACCAAGAATGAATCTGCAGACAATAAGAGACACACCACGATTTAGTCACAAACTAGCTATCGGAACAAAAGTACAGAGTTCAAAGTTGCTCCAAGCTCTGGGGGTCTAGAACAATGAAGTCCTTATTGGAAAAGAAGATTAAAGGGTTCATTTTAGAAATACTGGATTTAATGTGATAGTATCAGAGGGACAGATAAACAGTTTGACACTTGAGATTACATCACAGCTGAATGGCTAGGGGTCAGTCTCTTATAACATATGTTTTGAAGCACATGAACGAAAAAGGAAAAAAGTTATATTAGCTAGCACATTTGCAATAACCATAAAAACCAAAATATAGCTTTCTTTCATATTATTTTATTAGTATTTATAAAATAAAAACAATTTATGAAAATATTTCCCTTTTCAAGATAGAGAAACTATAATCTTTGCAAAAAATACACACCTATAACTGTTACAATACATATCTTTGTGTATACCTTGGACATTATAAAAGTGTTTTAAGAACCACACTCCATAAAAGTTGGGAGAAGAAACATCTTCTCCAACCTTGGTCATATATTATGACAACCAAGTGTTTAAACCACACTATAGAACATCTCTAGTTTACAGGCCCAAAGGGACTTATCATTCAAGGCCCCGTAGGTTCTTTTATTGTGCAAGGTGAAGAACCAGGAGAGGGTGCCCTGAGAGTTAATTTGCCTTAGGTAGGTCAAACAGTGGTTTACTTTGCATACTTTATCATGGAACCAAGGGGGAGGAGAAGGCCATGAAAACCCATGTTGGGCGCGTCCCCTCCCCAGCATCCCTATCTATGTAGTGTGCCTTCCATAAGAGGATTTCTAATGGTTGGGCTCTAAATGCTCTGATTCTATAATTATCTACAGTGCTTGCAAAAGTATGCTTTTGCAACTCTAAACTCCAATATTGTGAATTAGGCTAAAGTGATGGTAGTGTAACTCTCCTAAATATACTTCATTTAGGATTTGTCAGATGATAAGCATTTGGGATGATCAATAAGCCAAAAGTTCTTTCTTGGAACTATTAGAGAAGGTCCTTTCTTACTGAGACATAAACCTCAGAAGATAGGTTCCTTCTTACTTTAGAAGAATTGTGATGAAAGGGTGGGAAAGAACCTATAATCTTTCAAATGTGCAGGCTTAAGATAATTTTAGATGCTAGGTCTGACAAAGAATTGTAGACCATTATAGTTTTACCAACAAAGGGTTCATTGTGACAAAAAATCATCTGCATGTATTCTCCACTTCCTGATTAAATTCCCAAGCTTTCCTAAATATTCAGTTCTCTTTAACTGCAGAATATTGGCCTGATGAAGTTCCAGATATAAAATTTGTTGTTTGAATTCATGATGTTAATATCATGCTGCAGCATTGACATTTAATATCGTACTGACACACCAGAATTTAACAATGATTTTTTTTTCTATTCAAAGAACTTCAAAAGTCAACCAACCATGCAATTCGCAGGTCTTTACATTTAACATATAACAGTAAGCATTATTACATGTAATCCCATAAGGGAAAAAGACTATAAAAATAAGTTTAATAGTATTACTGTACTTTAAAAAGTTGTTTTAAAAATATGTACTCCAAAGTCCTCTAAGCATCTAGCTTAGAGGGGAAAGGAGGTATCTATTAGGGTGAACCATAAGAAACTAGTTTTTCTAAGTTAGAAAGGTAAAATCTCAGCAATTTCAAATGGTTCAATCTAATAAAATCCTGAGAAAATTTTATTTGGCATCAAACTGTAAATTCAAGGGAATTTATAGAAAAAAAATCATATTTCTAGTGAGGGGAAAACACTTTAGAATGGAAATGAATACATTGGCCATGCCAAGGTTTCTCTCTTATAATTTAAAAAAAGAAAAAAAAAAACACCACAAAACCTTAGTGCAGTTAAAAAAAAAAACAAAATTTAAATTACAGAATGATAGTTACAGTTGCTATGCCACTGAAAGAGAAACTATTAGTCAAATTTGGTGATTTAAAGACTTTTCAAAAGTTTACATAGAAAAATTCTGAAATGAAAAGGCACAAAATGGGTTAAAAGAATGGTAATCATTTATAAAAGCCTTGAATATAAGGCCCATTCAATTGTATTATTAACACCATTATGTAGGCACCTATTCCAAGTTTCAGCTTTGGCCTCCTAACTGGAATTATGTTTCAAATGAATTTCCAACACATCACTAATCATAGCAGTAAGTTCCTTAGCCTCTACACTGCTAAAAGGCCATCTAAAATTTCCTCCCCACCTATATTCCATCATTACCAAAAATACACTTTAAAAAATTACATATATTTATATTAGAGTCATAAAAATTTTTGCAGTGTTTCTTTAACTAATGAACTGTCCTCTTACCAATGCCACCCTAACAAAAAAACAAAGAAATGAACAAAAAATCACTAGACCAAACCAATGGGCTCTGCTTCATTAATTGAAGACATAACCATATTTAAAAATGGAACTTTAGCTATAAAATTTATTAAATATAATCAGTGAAGTAAATGCAGATTTTCCAGGTGTGTGCATGTGTGCTGTATTTGGACTGGGTGACGGTGTACTTGTAAAAAAATACACATTTCAGCAATTATGCTTCATTTGGAACTCTGGCACCACTTACGAAGGGCCGCTCCAGCACTGCTGGCTATTACACAGAGTGCGCCACCCACCGTCCACCACGTTGGTACATCATTAAGGAAAATAATCTGAAAGATAAAAGCAAAAACCACGTCCATAGTCCTCATTAGTGCTACTAATCCTGCTTTTTCGATTTGAAGGGCTTTGGTGATAAACACCTGACCGCCCAAACCAAACAGGCCAATTAGTATGAGAAAAAGCCTGTCCAGCCCACAGTATGGCAGACTCCACTCTCCTAATATTAAGAGGACGATGACGGTCTCCAAGAGGCCAAGTATGACATAATACCAAATGGTCAAAAAGTAGTCCACAGATTTTCCCATTTTTCTGAGGATAACTAGACTAAAGGCGGCAAACACAGCATGTCCAACTGATGCGAATGTGCCCTTCAGGTGATCTGAATAGCTCTTATCCTCTGCTGCAGGGTCGGGACCAAACAAAAATGGCGGCCTCACGATGAGGATCACTCCGATGATGGTGAATGCGGTGAAGAGCGCATCCCAAAGGCTGTATTTTTCCTTGAGAAATATGCAGGCAAATATAGATGTAAACACTGGACAGCTAAACGAGATAACCGTGGCATCAGCGAGGGACGTTGTCTGGTAAGCATAGTATAAAAGGATCATGGCGGTAGAACCGAGGACTCCTCTGAGGAGGAGGAAGATTCGTTGATCTTTTGGGCCCATAAACCCAGTTCTGTAAATTGAAATGAAAAAATACATATTAAATGAACTTGGTATTTGTTTTTAAATTATAATTTTAATAAAGTATTATTTTAGAAGTTTTAATTATCAAAAAATCAGGGAATAGCTAATTATGATAACATCCACAACTATTATATACCTTTAAAAGATGTTTCCTAAGTATAGCTAATGACATTAAAGTGTTCACAGTGTAAGCGAATATAATACAAGAGAACTACATAAATAGTATCATTATAATTCAGTGAATATATTTTTCTTTTTCCTTAAGTTATTTTTCTATATGTGTGTGTATACTTACAAAAAAAAGGAAAATATATTAAAATGTTCATTGTGGTTAGACCTTGTTCGAGTATAGGTAATTTTCCTTCCTTATATTTATTTTCCCCAAATTTTCTACTAAATATATAAATACATGAAAATGTATTATATTTATAATACAATTTCAAGATTTAGCTGCCCCATAAAAGAAAACTTGGTCCTGTGTAGTGTGTATTCCCAATCTTAGGAGATTTTCTATAAAAGCTGAAGCAATGCTACACTGTTTTAGCCATTGAATGTGAGATAACTTCTCATTGTTCTCATTAGGAAAAGAGTTAAAACATGCTGAAAAAGAACCTGTAGCATTCGGATAAGTATAACTGCTACTGCAAGTTTTTTGAATTAAACATTTACTAAACACAGTACTGTGTAAGTTCCTAACTAGGTGCACCTTGCTGATCTGTGCCAGGGCTGGACATCATTAGGGCAGCATCTGGGCCCAACATGGAGACACTGGATCTCCAGAGTTAGAAACAAAAGTGTGGTCACCTGTGGTCCACTTTGAGAAGCTAGGAGTCTTCCATGATAGTGAAACATAAAATGGGTCAAAACAGATTAGCACCAAGGATTTAAGAAAATTCTTCTAGTCCTGTCAGGGAAGCTCAGTTGATTAGAGCATCATCCCCATATACCAAGATTGTGGATTTGATCTCCGGTCAGTGCACATGAAAGCAGCAGCCAATGAATGCATAAATAAGTGGAACAACGAATCGATGTTTCTCTCTCCCCTTTCTTCTCTCTCTTAAATCTAATGCCTTCCAAAATGGGGATGATGATTGTGTTAGCATCAGTGGTCTAGTGCCACACTTAGAAATTTCTCAAGTCTTTCCATTATTTCCTAAAAATATTGTGACTTGTCCACACTTACACAGGAATTGTTGACAATATTGATCTTAGCAGATTTTTCACCTTTTTCACAAAATCCTCAGTATACAGCGTAAAAATTCTAAGTAAATATACAGTGTAACAGATAAAAGGACACTTTGGTGGCAAGCAAATGAGGCTGTTAAATTTGGGATTTAACCATCTTTGCCCAAAGAGAGAAAGAACCAGGCAGCCACTAGGAACCCAGTGGTCTCTTCTCCCAGGGTTCAATGTACATAGGGGTGTGTAGAGGTTATAACAGTGTGGGGAGGATGTGCAGGGGGGATCCATATGCAGGGGGAAGAGGGGCTTAGTGAGGAGACATCAGTGCGGATGGGAAATAGTCTTTGTATATTGTTATATTCTATACAAAGTACTCTGATCTACAATAAATTTCATTTGATCCTTGGAACCACAAGGCAGAGGACAAAGAATATCATTCCTTCCAGTTTATAGATGAGGACACTGAATACAAAAGTAGTTAAAAGGCCCTCCTCAAGATTACCTTTCCCACATCACCCTCGGGTAAGACCTAAATATTATTACTGTAGCCTTCTGCCGGCCCTGGTAGCAAAGCAATCTGTTCTACTTAAAGTAACCTCTCACACTAGGAGACACTACCACTTCCTCTTTTTTAGTTTTTTCTTCCAAATACTAGTTTTAACAAAACAAAGAAGGAAGAGTGGTACAAGATGGGTAGAATTATACAAGGAAAGTTTTGTTCTCAAAATGAGGGGTGGAAAATAACTGAATCTCTTTCTCCTCAATTGTTGGGCATGTGGTTTGTGCTTATGAGCATCTTCTTCAAGTGAGACCCTTGTGACTTTTCATTAATCAAAGCCAAAGGGTGTAGGGAATGGTAAATCTATGAGAGGGATAAAACAGATAACTATAGAGTAAATAATTTGAGCAGGTCAAAAGATTTACAACCATTTATTAATATCGTCTACTTTGCAGTTAAGAAATACTTACTTTCTGTATATTAAGCAAGGGATAACGACTAACATTTGGAACACACATCGGAATGCACTAATTTCTACAGCATGGATGTCTTGCACTTTTTTAACAAATAAAGAGCCCACTGAGAAAAGGAAGGCAGACAATAATGTGTAAAACAAGCCAAGTCCAGGACAGGGTGCTTTCTTCTTGGCTTCTGAAAAAGATTAAATTCTGGTTAGTCCTTGCTTCCAACTGTACGTTTTATCATTTTCACTTAGAAATTGAGAAAAATGGGACAGTGTTTACAGCTAACAAGCTACAAATATTACCTCCTAAGCATATCCAATTTTTGGATCTGAAACATTCTTCCCACCAAGATTGAAGACTCACAGACAAAGGAAACAACTTAAACTTGTTTTGCCCTGACTGGTGTGGCTCAGTAGGTTGGGTATCAACCTGTGAACCGAAAGGTCACTGGTTCAGTTCCCAGTCAGGACACGTGCTGGGGTAGCAGACCAGGTCCTGGTTTGGGAGCCTGCAAGAGGCAACCCACTGATGTTTCTCTCCTTCTCTTTCTCCCTCCCTTCCTGTCTTTTTAAAAATAAATAAGTAAAATCTTTTTAAGAAATAAACTTGCTGTTTTAAAAAATGCAGTTTCACCCTATAAAATGGATTGCCTTTGGCTCACTGATCATCCCTCACCTACAAGTCAAAAAGAAGTAAAATGCTTGCCAAGCCAGTAAGTATTATCTTTAAGAAATGCTTGTCAAAAAGTCTAGAGAAAAATGCTTCCAAATTATATTTTATATCATCTCACTGGTGAACTGAGCTTTGTGAAACCCAGTTCTTTTCTGGAAAACAGTTTATATCTGTGGTCTATGGCTACTTGTTGATTATCTGACTTCCTTCATAAGCCTGTGAACTCATCCAGGGCTGGGACCTTAGCTATCTTGTTCATGCCTGGCACATGGAAAACCCTGAATAAATACTTGCTGAATGAAGGAATATAAGACAATTTCATGGAAAGAAGCAGAGTGTAAAACCACTGGCAAGACCATGATTGAGGAAGGCTGTCTCTTTTGTTATTTTGAACCATTAGTCAAATCTTTATTTATCTTCTTTATTTAACTTATCTTCCATTTACAGCATAAACTCTTTGAGGGCAGGGGCTGGATTACCTCCCCTCTGACCCCAAATACTTTTTTTTAATTAGAATTTTAATTAGCATTTAATACCAATTCCCTGGCTTGATTTGAATCAGAAAACTGCTGCTTTCTCCAGACCATCAAGTATTCAGTCTACTCGTGACAGTCTGTGTGAGCATTAAAGTTTTGTTTAGACACTTCCTCTGTCTTTGTTGCCTAAGACTGGAATAGAACCCAGTTTTTGATCTCACCTCCTGGCTTTTAGAGAGCAAAATGGAGTAGAATGAGCAGAGAACTCCCTCAAAAGCCACACACTGAAGAATATATTCTTTTTTTTCTTTAACACACACAAAAAAAGAGAATAAGAAGTAAACACTACTGGTTCCCATCAGCTAAGAGCACAGCAAAGCTAAATGATATGTAGGTACATGCAATTTGTAGTAAAACCAGGGTTACTCATTCCTATGTAGGAACTTACAGTGTGTTATTCTGCTACAGAACAATATTGCATACTGATGTGCACGTGTTTTTAAATGTCGTTCCCTTCTAAATGCAACAACACCAGGTGATATATTTCAATATGCTAGAGCTAGCAAGATACCTTTGCCCATAAGTGACACTTTACAAATTGGAACCGGAGTGTGATGATGCAGTCTTTCTAGTGGCATTCTACAACCTGACCTTTGTAGTAAAAGATGCCACTATGGTCAGAGACTTCCATCTCTTTCTGTTCTAGGTGCAAGCTGAGGAGAATGATTTCAAGTTGGCAGTTGTCATGTTACAGGTTATAAGCTGTAAGTGCCAGAATCCTCCACATTCTGTTCTGTAATTATGTGCTCAGATGTTGTAAAAACACTGCACATACCCGCTCAATGCAGGAGAAGGAAGCTTTAGAAGACTTCTAAGTTAAGCACCACTAAATACATGTTTGGCTGTGGTCAGCCTTAGAATTTAGCTTATGCAATTTCAAAATCCAGGTCCAAATAAAATAGTTTTTCTTAAAAGAAACCCAACCCATACATAGAACCTACACCCTTACACAAAACAGAATGAGAAGATCAAGGACAGAAAACATGTCCCTGGTCTTCATTTCAAGGATCTTCTCCAACCTAAACTTTTCAGTTTTTCTCTAGGACTATTTTAGCATGCTATTTTAACTCTTTGAGAACTTAATTTCACACGCCTGGCTCTGACTGTCTTCCTTAAAACACATACAGTCCCATATTTTCTTGCCTATTAACACTTCAGGCCCATGCCTCCTGATTGGGACAGAACTGTTATTATAAGGCCTAACTGAACCTGATTATTTGTTAATGAGGGTGAGAACTGGTTCTATACAGGCAAGCCTCAGTCTCTTACTGAATAAGAATTTCAATTCTGTCAATGGAGGTGAGCAAGAGAGTAGCGTAATCCAGAGGCATTTACTTATGTAATATGCTTCCATGTTCATATCCCACTAAAAGTATATCTAATAATTCGGTAACTCTAAATAATTCAAATTAATTGGCCATAGTACAATTTCCTGAGTTAGAAGAAAACAGAAAAGTTGCTCAGTTTCTCTAATCTCTACTTTAAACTGGTGATTTGCAACCCTGTTTGGGAATTAGAACTAACTAGCAACTTTAATTCCAAGCCCTACCATAGACCCACTGAAACAGGATCTCTGTAAACTGTTAAAAGCTCTACTAGTTTGAGAATCACCATGACACTAAAGAACTCATTCCTTCCAGAGGGATATAAGGCACAGACCTAAGACAACTTCTCCTTGATTCAGCCTAAGACCAACTATGTCCTTCAAGAATATAAACAGATATCTTAGGGTAATTGTATGCCATCTGTGAATGTATAAAAAATGGTGAACAGTTTCAACTGGAACTTGAAAATGAGCTTTGTTGATCTAACCAGTTGATTCAAGAGGCTAAAATGATACTGTCACAAAGTTCAATGACAACAATACTGTGGTTACAAGTGTTTCTGTGGCAATCCTGTTTTTGGAATATTTTCTGGGCCCTTTTTAATAACTATTACTAAGTCTTATTGTTGGAAACTTTCTTTAAAGTTATAAGACCCCCAAGATTCTTAAGTGCAGTCACCTATATTGGCTTGTCATTTTGCCATGTGCTTCCTGAGTGTACAGTATTCCTCTTCAGTTCACAAACAGAGAAAACATTTATATGTTTGCAGTGACTAACTCAGCATTTGACCAGAATGACATTTAGTTATAGAATGATATGGTAAGAAACTGACCTCTTCAAGGGCTGCACATCTGGTCAGCCTAGCTTGAGGTAACTCCTGCTCTAGAGGCTCTAGCCCATGCATAAATTATTAGAATTCTCATAATTTCTGTTAGCATTTTGGGGCAAAAATGGAGCAAGAACCATCTTCCTGAGGGTTATCTGGGGGTTACCTGGGGGTTAACTAGAGAAAGTACATAAAGGGAGGAGGGAAGCTGGGGTGGGGTAAGAGGCAAGAAAATACTGAATCACACTTAAGGGAGGCAACCCAGAGGTTGAGGAGGTACAGGCTGTGTAACTTGGTCTTGAAAGGACATCTGCCTATTACCCTCTTCTTCCAGGAAACTTCTCCAAGTGGAGTTCAAGGAGAAATGAGCTTGAGCCTAGTAGAAAGGGCCCTATGCTGGGTTTCTAGTACGCTGGTGCCACAGAGACCTGTGCCCTGTCTCACTCACACATGTCAGATCTTCAGAAAAACCAAACAAAAAAGCTCAAATCCCTCACCTTCCTGGGCCTCACTTTTCCTTTTCTTTTCTTCCCCATATCTTTTTTTTTTTTTATTTTTTTTCCATTACCATTTGCCCCTCTTATTACCGTTCCCCTCCCTCCCCCACACCCCCAATCACCATACTGTTGTCCAGGATCATGAGTCCTTTTTACTTTTTGCTTGGGGCCTCACTTTTCTCATTTGTCAAAGTAAGATCAAGGGTTTTTCACATGGGGCCCTTGACTTTGGGGACAGGTCCGTCATCCCCTTAATCACGTTAAGATTGTGCCTCAGCCTTATTGTACATCAGTTGCTGAAAAGTCCTCCTAACCCAAAAAAGTCAAGAACCAGTGATCCCACTCAACTCAACTTCCTCTTCAGGGAACACCGTTTACCACCAAGATCACTTTTCATGGTTAGCTTCCTCCCAGCCATGAGAGGTTGTAGGATGGCCCCCAACCTCTGAACTGCAATCTGACTCCACGGTCTTACCGGCAACACTTTAACTATAGGAACAGTTTAGAATCCCAAAAAGGTTCGAAACACAATCAGAAACTTTCTCCGGTTTTCGCACCCGCAGGTACTGGGGACTTCTGCTTTGCTGCCCCCAGGTGACAGCTCCAGGGTTTCCCCAAGCTCTGGGCAGGGGAAAGGAGGTGGTCGCTGTCCGCAATTCACCCCCGGCCCATGGCTGCGAGGATCCCCTTGCTGGCGCCCGACTGGTCCCCCAAGGGCGGGACCCGTGCCACGGTCGGCAGACCGCACTCACCAGGCTGCGTGCGCGAGCCGCACGGCGAGGAGCGGCACAGCCAGCACCAGCCTGAGTCGGGGTCCGGTGTTCCCACATCCTCGGCGGCGGCCAGCTCCTCACTTGCGCCCGGGAGCGTGTCGTCTGTCTGCGGCAGACCGGGCTCCTGTAGCTCCGTGGCCCCAGCGCTGTCCAGGGGCCGCATAATGCAGCCAGCTACCTCCCAGCGGCCGCGCCGCGTCTGGCGCCGGCAGCCGCGGCTCCACTGCCAGGCTCTTCCGGCGGCGGCAGTGCGCCTGCGCTCGTCGTCCTCCTCCCCCTCCCGGGGGACGGAGCTTGTCCTCCGCAGCCCTTACATTCAGCTCCCCAGCCTCCTGCTCCGAGAGAGGTTACCACCTCCCTGGTGAGGCTGCTGTGGCCACAGCTGGCCCGAAGGCGCCCACCCCTCTGCTGTGGTCTGGCTAGCCTGGCCAGAGCTTTGGAGTCACCTTTTGCAAGGCACACTGCACTCCTTTCTGTCATTGCAGAGAAATAGGTCCTGCGGCCTTCTCTGGGGGCAGGCCTGCCGTAGATTAGGAGGGTGTACCTTTATTTATCGGCGTGACCATATTCAGCACCTCTGGGATACCCTGGAGACCTTGTCAAGCACTGCGCTTGTCTTTGAAAGATCAACTGTTTTCCTCCATCATCTCACTGCCACTCTTTCAATGAGGGTAGAATTTCACTGGTTTTAAGTTTAAGAAAAGTGGGGTGGGGTGGAGGGATTAGCACAACTATTAGGAAAATATATAAGACTAGGGCAGAACCCATTTATATGTTCTTTGTAACAGTAGGCATTTATTATTGGTTCTTCCTTTCCTTCTTCCCTCCCTCCCTCCCTTTCTTCCTTCCCTCCTTCCTTCGTTTTTGTTTTTAATGGAAACATGATAATTTGGTGATATGTAAGATTCCAATATTTTTATTTCATCACACTGGTAAAATCAGTGATGTGTGTCATTTGTCCCAAGGATTCACTAATAGCCTCTTTATATAATTCTTTCATCCCTTTGCTTGCTTTAAATGTGAGCCCTGGCTGGTGTGGCTTAATGGACCGTGTACCCGCCTGTTAACCAAAGGGTCGCTGGTTTCATTCCCAGTCAGGGCACATGACTGGGTTGCAGGCTAGGTCCCCAGCAGGGGGCGTGCGAAAGGCAACCACACGTTGATGTTTCTCTCCCTTTCTTTCTCCCTCCCTTCCCCTCGCTCTAAAAATAAATAAATAAAAATATTTTATAAATAAATGTGAAAGGACAGTGTCTGAACCCTGGCCCTGTGGTTAAGTTGGTAGGAGTGTCATCCCATACACCAAAAGGTTGCAGGTTTGATCCCAGGTGAGGGCTTGTACCTAGGTTGTGCATTCAATCTGTTACAATAGTAGGAGCGTCCAAGGGGGAAATAAAGGCAAGGAGGAGCAGGGGTACATGTCCCACCCACTGACTCAACACTCCTTGAAATTCTATGTGTCTTTTCCATTATCTGAGGGAAAAAGCCTTTGAAACTGTGCTTTCATCCCAGTGAAAGGCCATCAAGTCCTCACAGTGCCCAAAAGAAGAAGCCCATTAACACCTTTGGGTATTCACACTCCCCCCCACCAGAAGCTGGCACCATCTTTACCTGTCAATCAATATTTACGCCATCCTGCCAACTATGTAAGTCCTCAGAACAAAGGACTCTCAGGCTTGATGCTCTTGGTTCTGTGGCTGCCTGGTCACCTAGCCTGTGGCCACACGTGTGCTTGCCACCCTGGCCTTTGGCCGCCCTTACTTTTGCTGCCCTTACCCTGCTTTGCCTTGAACCTATGCCTTTCACCCCCACCTCCACCCCCACCCCTACCTCAACAAGGCCGGTTCTCTTCCATGAGAACATATCTCTAATAAACCCTGCTTGCACACTAATAGATTTCCTCAACTGTAATTCTTTACAGCATTGGCAAGAAGATCCTGGTCTCTCCTGGTAGTAAATCCCCAGCTGGGCATGAATGGGAGGCAACCAATCGATGTTTCTCTCTCACATGGATGTTTCCCTCTCTCTCACAAATCAATAAACATATCAAAAAAAAAAAAAAAAAAGACACTGTCTGGGCAAGGATGAACCTGTCTAAACTTTTCTAGGTCCAAGCACAAGCAGATTATCAAACAGGAGAGTTAAGGTCTTTCCTTAGATGCCTGCACAAAGTGGTTCACAGCTTTGGACTTTAAAGTGGTTAAACTATTGGACTTTAAGTCAGAAGTCCTGGGTTCTAGCCCTAATTATGTCACTGAATGTGTGACTTTGAACAGTCACTGCTTTACTACATGAAGCCTTAGTTACTCCATTTAATTAATAGAAGTAAAATGTTTTTCTACTTTGCAGGGTTTTTATGCAGGTAAAGTGCATTGATGTGGGCAGAAGCACATCACCTGGAAAGCACTTTACTGGAAATCAAGGTGTATTTTTAACTAGGGTGAACATAAAATTTATTCTCCAAACCTGAACCTTTTTTTTTTAAGAGTGAAAGGGGGAGCTCTTTTAAAAGTTATTCAGAGCTAGCATAAACTGGGACTGTCATAGGTAAATTGAGACAACAGTCACCTGAATTCTAATTTGATTAACATATACATTTGCCTTGTCTTAAAAAGAATTTAAGGCTGCTTACAAAAATATTTGCTATTGATTTTGTTGGTGGGGGGGGGTGTTTTAGGGAGGAAGTTATATGGAGGGGTGGTAAGGGTGCTCATGATTATGAAGCAAAAACCAAGAAGCTTCTCAAAAAATGTAGAAATTAAGTGCAGTTTCACAACTACATTGTGAGATTTAGATGTGCAGAAAGTTTGAAGGATCCCCCTCTTTGAGTAGTGAAGATGGTGGCCAGGACGTAGAAGGAAGAAAGACTCAGGATGATTTGAACAAGAAGTACCTTGACCACTTTACTTTCAATACCATCCTTAAGAAGGGAACAGAGAGAGAAAAGAAAATGTGTACCACCCCAGTGTTGACTAAGGTGACTAAAGGGTGATGAGATGATTTTAGTCTTGCCATTTATGTCACTTTAACTTTCCTCCCCTCTGCTGCTGACCTTGTGATATAAATGGTATCAGTTATATCATTCTTCCATCTTAGTTAAAAAAACAAGAGCCGTGAAAACATAAAAAGTAACTGGTAAGAAAAGTATGGACCAGGCTAGAAATGGCTGTTCAGGCTCCACCTAGCAGGGATGTGGCATGGTTAGGTTCTTCTTTGAGCATTGTTATTTCAAGGCTCTGATACCAATGACATTGAGCTGGTGAGAAGTAGATTTTTCCCATAGTGTGAAGGATGGGACAGAAATCCTGACTGTAGGAGAGGACAGCTTAGAGCTTACTGCAGTGCTCTGGATGACGTTCTGACTCAAGCAAGGCAGAGGAGAAAAGGAGGGAAGGTTGATTTTGAGGGACCTAGGAGAGGAATGGTCAGGATTTGTTGACCAAATGTGAAAGAGTATTGTTTTTGCCTGCAAAATCATGCAATGTTCCAACTGAAACTCTTCTGCTTCTGAAGAAATTCAATCCTTCAGTAAGAAACAAGCAGCTGTCACTATGATGCCAAGTAACCACAGTTGGGTGGACTCTCATTGTTCTGGTGCCAGGTAGCTAGGAGGAAGATAAAAGTGGAGGACAGGTGGTTTCTAGTGGCCTCATTAACAAGTAAACGTCCAAGATCCTCACCATCCCAGTGGTGGCAGATGGAGACCTCTAGGTACTGCGGGAAGAGTTAGATTCCTGATTTGTACTACTGCTTGCATGTCAGGTATGCTCCTACATGAGTGTAGTGTAAGCCTTGACAGCGGTTTTCTTTTTTGAATTGCAACTTCCTGATTTGAACTTTGATTGCTGAGGCATCCACTTCAAAGATGTGTCCACTCCAAAGAAAGCTATCTGGAATAAACACGTGGCTAGCCCCAGGACTAGATAAAGAGCCAGGCCACCTCCCCTACTGAAGCTTCTTTGTTTTAGAGACATTGGTTGATTTCAGTAGCTGAAATCATTGGGGCCACTTCTGGGTGCTTTAAATCCTGCTGTTTTAAATTCACCAATAAAGAGTGAGTCAGTGACCCTAGACTTCCACTCTTGACCCCAGTGAAAGCAGAACCCTAGGCCCTTGCACAAGTGCTCTCCTTCTACCTGAGACCTCACTGTATGGCCTCAGATAGAAAGGCCCTGTGAGTAATTAACCTTTATTTTTTCAAAGTTTCCTGGTGGTTATTACTGAAGGGTGTCTTGCAATCATAATAAAAACCATAAGGGTGGAACCAGTTATGACATTATTTGTTGATAGGCTGAGACCAACACAAAACAGTGAGACATTTGTAAATCAGAAACTCTCTTTCCCTAGTGTGTCTGATTCATACTAGACTGGTATCTTGGTACTAATTTGAAAGACTTCCACCCCCACCCCAAAAATGTATTTTTGTACCTTTCCAGCTAATGTAACTTATGACTTGGAAAATGGCAGTTTGTTCCAAAAATAAGGTCTAACATTTGTGTTTTGGGGAAAATCAGTACTTTGGAACATATGATCATCATTCTAAATAACCTTGGCCAATGAAAGAGGGAAGAAGCAAGAGAAGTAGATTAGTATAAATGTAGGTTGGTACATTGGCAAGGCAAAATAAACTGAGATGATAAGAACTGACTCTAGAAATATAACAATGATGACAAAATGCCAGGGTTAGTTTCCAAAAAAAAATTAAATATGGAATTACCATATGATTCAGCAATCCTATTTCTGGATATATACTTAGAAAAATAGAAAGCAGGGACTCAGATGAATATTTGTACACCCATGTGCAGCATTACTCACAATAGTCAAAAGGTGGAAACAACCCAAATGTCTACCAACAGATGAATGGATAAACAAAATGTAGTATATACATATAATGAAATATTATTTAGCCTTAAAAAAGGAATGAAATTCTGACACATGCTATAATATGGATAAACCTTGAAAACATTCTAAGTAGAATAAGCCAAACAAAAACGACAAAGATTACATAATTCCACTTCTCTAAGGGACCTAGAATAGTCTAATTCATAGAGACAGAAAGTATAATGGTGGTTGCCAGGGGCTAGCAGGGAGGAGGGAATGGAGAAGTTATTGTTTAATGGATACAGAGGGTCACTTTGGGATGAGGAAAAAGTTCTGTGGATGGATAGTGGTGATGGTTGTACAGCAATGTGAAT